AATGTTGCTATCTGAAAATTTTGCAATCTTAAAGTGGTGTAAACAACAGTATATTTTGGAGCCGATAATTTTGTAATAATTTTGTTATATTGTATTGATATGTGATTGCATTTATGTTTGATGACTCATGACATAGTCGCTGCCAATCATGTAATTTTATTTAGTCTTTTTATTTTCTTTTTACCTTAAAGTGTGCCACTATGTAGACTATATGATAGAGCTGTGCACAGCTGTTATAGGAGTGCAAATTTACTTTCTATTATATATTATCATATCTAATATTATCAATATTTATATTAATTTGTATTCTGTAGCTGTGCCAAGAAATAAATAAATAAATATGGCTAGAACTGCCGGCATATTAGCGCTATATTAGTGAAGGCCCGTACGACAATGTTGTTGAGCGCTGCGTGTCGAGATATGCGGCCAGCGCTTCGACCAAGCTTCGAGTCAACAGCATCACCGCTCATTTAGTTTGTGACGTTTATTAACAAAAGAATCAATCTGCATGAAAACAAGCAATCTGCTTAGCTTAATCATTCTGGAATTTTATGAAAGTTATATTTTAAAAACAACAGCTGAGCTGTTTCTGGGAGGCTTGTCAATTTCTCCAGCGTGCCTAAACAGATCATGCCACAACATGAATATCTGATATTCACAATAACTCTGGTTCCAATACTCCAAATGGTTTGGAAGAAATAAACTTGTACCTGTAATAATCCTGGCAGTTTTTTGAAAACATCACGTTGATTGGTGGTGTAATATACATCGTAGTTTAAGTAACTGTAATTAAGTAATTCAACACATTAATACAACACATCTCAAGCTCTTCTTTAGTAGATTATGATAATCGGCATCTTGGAAGGTGCCTTCCCAAGCGATTGATTACAAGTAAATCTTGAGCCATGCCTTAAGTGACATTTATTAATAGAAATTTGATAACTGTCAAATGATGGGCAATCAAGGAGTAACCGTTGATATGCACTCGAATAACATTAAGTATTAAAGGATCTTAATATCGATCCTGCATTTCAGATGGATTTGTTAATATGGGCCTTTCGAAGGCGATATTGTTAAGTAAGTGGTAAGTTTAGTCTAAAGTACATACTGTGTAACGCAGCCTGCTGGCATACTGCAGTATCGTGTAGCGGTCAAAGTTTGCTACACACTTGTTATTGCATATAACGAGGGTGCAAAACCGTCTTGTTTCGCACTTGCCGTAGTACCGTAGGAAAGCAATCGCGTTAACACTTTAAAGAAACAATACAATTACTTCGGTATTTCAGAAGCAGTTATCATCTACTCTGCGTATGTTATTTCTTCAACGTTTAGGTTATACTCAGCCAAGTCTAATCTCTGTTTAAACTTTACAATATAAATAACTTTTTTTATCAAAAAACACTACCTGAAAAGCTTATTTGCTTATCCGCTTTCGCTGCGTCTGATGTTCGACACCGCGGTCTCCTTAACGATAATAAAAACGCGTGTGGAAGTCCTCGTCAAAACGAATCATGTGAGCCCAAATGCCAGGTAGCTGTACATTGTTGAGTTCGTCTCGTCTGTCTGTCATTTCCATCATCAGACCAGCTCCTATGGTAATGTATTTCAAAGTAATATTTTGTAATGCGAAACCGCTCGACTGCATCCAATGTTTGTTGTCCTAAATATATAAATAAAGCACTCAGGAATTTTATATCCACGGGCCTCGTTAGTAATTATCAATATTCATCGGTTGTTTTATGTTTACTCGGTACCACCGAATATCCTCTCGGTTGGAGTTAAAAACATTATATACCTGCCTTATAACAATCGACAACAAACAAAACATCGAACACAATGAACAATTCCTTCGATGTTATAGGACCCGAAAATGCATTTGTATGCCAACAAGGGCCACTAGGATACTTGGATTTGTGCAAACTAGTGAAATAAAGTTTTTCGCAATTAAATATATAAATATCATATTAATCAAAATCAATATTAATATTATACCTTCCAAAAATATCCAAACCACCGTGACACTTTTATGACAATGTGATTCATGTTATGAAGAACAGCAAATTGTAAGTAATAGGAGGAATAAAAATAAACTGGCTATTCTTTACAAAGTCACAAATTCAAGGGACAAGATAATTATGTACGCTTCTAATATACGAGTAAGGGTGCGTACAGATCTGGCGAATGCGAGGCGAACGTGCTGCATGTGCGCTGCTAACATGCAGTTAAATATATGTTAATAAATGTGGCGCTCGAGTGGCGATGGCGCACAACGTAATGTGCAGCTCACAAGCCTTTCCGTCAGCATTTGCCAGATCTGTTCGCACCCTAAGATTCTGGTTGATATTCAAAATTTGCAATTTACAAGGTTTAAATCCATCATCATCAACACGTTCCACTACTGGGCTAAGACGAGAGTTCTGAACCTTCTTCGACATGCAGTTTTCATCACGATGTCTTCCTTCGCCGCTAGCGAGAGGACACACTTTAAAACTGTCACGACACAAAAACTTAAAATTTTTGCTATTTTCTAAATAGCTACAGCTGCTCGTGCTGGAATAACAATGAATGAACTCCTACCTATGATATTATAAAATAAATATTTTTCACAAATGTTGTCAAATATCTATTTACAAAAAACAACCCCTGAAGTTTCATAATCAAGCTTCTTAAGAGGATCTGCCTTGCAAGTTGATACGTATTTAGTGATTTGACGATTTCAAGGGTTATTATCACTGTGTCTATATATATATAGATATTTTTAATTTGGATTTGACTTTATCACAACGATCCACAGACAGCAGGCCAATGTATAAATCAAGATTAAAAACCACCAGACGGTTTGGAGCTCCGCCGATGCTGGGTCGTGACGTCACGGCGAGCGAAACCGCGTGCGTAGGCGACTCAATATTGGTGATGTATAAGTTGTTATTATTATATTTACGCCGCGACAATGTCGACTTCGATTTTGATTCGTTTTCATGCGAACACAACTGTTTGCCCTATTTCAGAGACGTGCAACGTAAGCCGAGATAACTTCTTAGAAAATTACGAATGCCTTACCCAACCATTCCTGGTAGGCCTTGGCTGTTTAGTTGTTCATTGATCAAGCATAAAGTTTTTATTAACCTACTAACACCTAAGTAGGTGACTTGATTCATAAACATTGTTTACGAGTCGAAAAATCATATCGCCCCCAACAAAATGCTATTTGCATAAACTTCAAGGTAGCTTCTATTTTTCTTCTCTATAATATGTAGGCTATGTAGACCGATACTATTAGCTTTTGCGGAACAATATGAAACTTTAGTTCTACTGCAGGGGTTGCAGGTGATTTTCACTCAACATAAGTAGGCCCACGACGCGGACAACCAATTATGGACATGCGAAAAAAAATCAATTTATTTAAGACAAGTAGTAATAAATACATACTTAATAAGTTGCCACTTTATTTTGAAGTGGAAGAAGTTAACATTGACCGCGGCAGGCAAGCAATGACATGACCTATAAATTGAGTGAGTTTACTGCATGGCTCTGTGCGGACACACGGCTCTGAATCAGCCTTATGGAGTAACTAGTCTACGATAATAGTATATGGCGATTATTCTACCAATTTTTCCTGTCTGCCCACACGCATATTTTGAACTGTTTCTAACACTTAGTACCTAATAATAAATACTTAATACTTGCTTGCATACTTGGTACCTATTGCAATTCTGCTTCTTAGTTCAGAAGAACTAACTCTACCTATATAAGTTAGGTGCGATATAGATGTATATGATGACCACCTCTTTCTATGTCTATCGTAAAATCGATTCACGCACAATGTACGAGGCTAGCTACATATACACATACATATAGTTGAATTTTAGAGTCTGCGATATTTTATTTATGTTCCAACACAGCTCTAGGTTGTTGGAGAACCGTATAGGTGTTAATTAATAATTCTCTCAAAATTCTGAGACTTGTGCCATTATCCACTGCCGCAATTGTCAGTCGCCGTCGTCGTTGGCGTCTGCGGATTATCGCGCAATGTCTCCTTTGAGGCAAACATTGACTGAATCGCCGCGCCGGTTGCGATCACCTTCCATCTATTTTCAAAGGCCTTTCTATCAATTCCCTTTGTCTTTAACCCGCTTTCTAAGCCGATCAATATTTAAATATTATAAACGTAACATTACACCGCCGGCGCCGTTGTCGGCACACGCGACGAACCCTTTATCACATCAGCATAAATAACACACTTCGGCTAATTAGTGGCTTAGAGTACATGTGGAGTAGCGGCCGGCGGCACTTTCTCGAAACTTAGGGTGATAAGGGCTTTATCTACGGCATTAATGTTCGGTGTACGTCGATACGATACAGTATTCGGCGTCAGAGCCACGGCTGAATCAATGGTCCAATAGAATCTGCATATCCGTGTCACAGAAACATCAACATCGTCAGATATTGTTTCTAAGTACATTTTACCCCTTTATGCAGCACTGACCTATTTGTTACTTATTGCTTGGAACGAATACCTATTTACACAAAAGTTCAACCTTCGGCAGTAGCTTAAATGGGACGTTTTTAACTGTTAATTTATTTTACCTATGGAATAACTGACTTGCTTTGACTGACTTTGACTTTCACTTCGACTTCACCCCATTCTCGCGTAAATTCATCAATAATTCCCAAACACATCAGTCCCAGTGTGGTTATCCTACCGCCAACGACTGAATCTGTGTGTAAAATACCTGGTCCATGGGATGTGGGGGTGGTCATCGGTACGAAATATAGGCAGTGGATGGCTGCCACGCTGGCACGCCAGAGTAGGCTGACATGGAAAAGTGTCTGAAAGATGCCTGTGGCACAGGCGCCGAACACTGTATCACGTAAATCGCCAAAAAGCTTGCGGGACAGGCCAAGGCAGGCGTGGAGGCTGCGAAGCGCCATCGCATCCCACGGCGCGACGAGGGGCGCAGGCAGCGCAGGCGGCCGCATGCAGTGATCGCTCGGACGCCGGCCGTGTTGCACGCATTCCGTTCTTTGCCGACCACTCAGTTCCGCACCTCGGGATACACGCCGCGATTCTCACATTAAAACCAACCGACCCCGAGTGACCCCAAAAGTGCACACCGAGCGGCCAACACGAAACGAAACGACTCGCTAACACATTATTATAATAACTTAAGACTAACCCGCTTTGCCATAACACATGTGAGCTTACTTCACTTAATTTATTAATTAACGAGAAGAGGTGAAAACGTAGCCGACGAAGACGAACAGACAGTTTTAAATGTAAAGGGGGCGAGGTGTGACCGACTACCGTCAGGTGAGTTTCGAATTTTTATAATTGTTAAGTAAAAAAGCTGTGCCCGCCCCGGCCGCGACCGTGGTGGTGACGATATGGGGTTTTTGACAGCTGTTTTCGGACGTGTGTCCACGCATAAATTAACGAGTGACTTGATTCATGCGACGACATTCTTGATACACTTAGATGTTATTACAGCTTTTTTAACACAACTCTTTAGATGATTTTAAACATCGACGAAGACAATTTCATGTACATTTACATTACCTACGTAGTTGTAAATTATGCAATAAACATTTCAGTCCTACCCTGGACTCATCATTTGTCGATAATCTCATAATTAGCCAGTCGCGGCGATCATCGACGTAGGTCATTCCGGTCTAGCAGACCCTTCATCATTAGTATTGGAGCGACCGGTTTGCGGCGATGCGCTGGCGCAGTGGCGCAGGCGCAAGGTCCACTCTGGTTGGTGGTGGGTGAGTGACCCATTTGCGCAGGGGGTCACTTCACTTCGCTCCCTTCCTCGTCACGCGAATGATGTGATGAGTTACCCACTAATAATTTCTTCCATTGTTTACAATAGCAATTTAAACTGTCATTGCAATGCCAACGACGCCGGCGGGATGTTTGGTGTTTGCTTACATCACCGCCGAAAGGAATGTCTTTGTTCTGTGGGCGCAGAAACAAACAGACCCATCTGTATGTACATTTTGGTCTAATGGGCTAGTCTGTTTGCACATCTGCGCGCAATCGTTTCTCATATGTCACTAAAGTATTCGGGAAGGCTTTGCATCCGACCTGCTGTCCAGCCTCAACAGCAGCTCAAGGTACTTATGTGTAAGTAAAGCGTTAGTTTAAAAGTTTTTTTTGAACACCACTGCCTTATTGCGATTGCGGTGCAGGGTGCGATTGAAAAGACTAATCAGCCTGTCACTTCTAGCCTGTCCGATTTCCAGATATAAACTGCATCTAACCGGAATGAAATGCGAAAGATTTGATATAACGTTTCTTAGAAGTCGCTATTGTTTAGAACGTGTTACTACACAGTTAGATTACAATAATGGACACCAACTGACTCACGTATCGGCAATTTTGTTTATTTATTATTCGAAATTCTCCCTCAGAATTTAGTTTTCGATAAGGCTTCTAAAGTCTGAGTCATTACGGCTATTTCGGTTAATGTTCCAAAGAAGGCAGGCACCAAACAAGGCTTGTCGATAAAACTTTGCGAATTCTTCAAGGTCCATGACAAAATTCTTCTTCTTTTAAATTTACTTTAACAATTGCTTCGAAGTAATTAAGAGCTGTCGGTGTGCGATATCGTGCTCCTAATGACGTGGCCTCGAATCGTCACCTATCAATATTTACCGAAATTCACTTGTCGACAATGAATACTGTCGCAGCTGGCTTTTACGATCAATTAAACAACTGAAGGCTACTGATATCACACAAGAACATTTTTAATCGGTAAAACAATTCTATTCAATTTGGCTTTATTCCACAAATTATATCAGACGAATAAGTCTAAATTGCTGTGATCGAACTGAATCCAGTGCCATCTAACACTTTCATACGGTTTGAAAATCTTCTCAACTTTAGAAATTCACCTTCGCTCTAACTCACTCCCTTTGCTCTTACGTCCGATTGTATTATCTTAATCCTATGCTTATCTTCCTAATTCCAAACTGTTACGACATTCCGAGTGCATCACCGACCATGCAACCTCACACCGCATCGCCTCGTTCGGAGTCCAATACCTCACGTGTGCCGTGCAGTGCGTGCACTATCAGTCATTTGTCAATTGCTCTATTCTTTGCACAATAAATTCCTTTGCCTTACATTTGTTATCAATGTTTACTTGTAGTAACGTATTACATCTTACTACATTTTCCACATAAATTATGTTATTTTATTTTCAATCATCAGATATATACCTGTATTTCATAGGTATGCAACTCACACTTGAAATCATGAAATGGCTAAATAAATTAACACTATTACAAATTGTTAAGGCAGACCACCCGAGAACAATAAGTTTGTAGTCGTTAAAACAATACATTTTAATAAAGTTTTTTTCTTGTCCATTGTTGCTTTATATTGTTTCCTTATTTTATAACTTGGTAGTAGTTATCTCTGCTATGATAGATGAGTACTTCAACGATGGTTCTCATTCCCAATTATTCGTTTTTTAAACATCACCGGTATCGAATCTTGACGCCCACGTCACGTGTGAGCAATTAACAAATAACTATCTGTGTTTTTTTTTCTGAAGAATAATTCCGACAATATCGACATTATTGATGCAATCTTGAGTGACGTTATATTGAATAGCAATTCTTCTTTAACCTTAGATATTGCTCAAATCAATTAAAAAGTAAAAAATAAAGGTACAACATGAAAACTTCCATAAATGATCATCCTCATCTACCCGGCATCACCGCCAGTCCTCTTCTCAATGAAAATCAACAAGGCTTGGAAAGCGTATTGTATGAAACTTTCATAATTCTTTTTTAAAATGTAGAAATTCGTCATCTTGCGCAGATGAAACAAGGTCCGAACATACTTATCTACCCAATTTTTATATGTTAAATGGAGTTAAAAGATTTGGTAGAGACAGGGCCATTAAAGTGAGCGTCTAATGGCCAGATTGAAAGCGAGACGACCATTCAATTGGACGAAACGCAACGGGCGCGGGTGTCACTCGGCGCGGGCCGCCATAGTGTGCCGCATCGCTATAGTGTGGTAGAAAGCCTATGGCTATTCTATTCAACTGGAGTCTTTATTGCCTAGGATTGAAGCATGTTTGCGAGTCTGGAATTCATACTGTGCTCAACTGTCCGTCGTATGATTATCCCTTTCTGTACCATGCCGTATTTTCCGTAGGATATCCTCTTCTTGCTATGCATTTTTACTTTTTTTATGAAACAACGTGAAGGGATGAACAAGTCATGCGCCTGGTGGTAAGCGACTCGCCTGTCCATGACAGTTGCAGTGCCACTCAGAGCATTAAATCGCAAAGATCTGAAGGGCATTGAGATTTAAATTGACAAGTCCGATGTGCATATAATTTCATCAGCACCCTTACCCTTCAAAACGTAGTAATGCTCACATTGCTGCTTGGCGGCAGAAGTAAGTAAGGTGGCAGTACTTACCTGAACGAATCTTTCACAAGGTGCTCTACTGCTACTAATGCATAATCTATGAAATAATAGTAAAAATTTCTCGTATTTACATTAAATTATCCGCTGACAGGTGTCTCTCTGCATACATTGCCACCTACTACCGATGCAGACACTGCCATTTTTAGCGTGAGCCTTACGAGTGCATGTGGTAGCAATATAGACTGCGTCGACCTCCGATAAACCACGCGCCCACGCGCCCTACCTGTGGTATAATCGCGTGACTTTTTCAAAATTATTGTTATTATTTGCTACTGGACTGACTGCACGCGCGAAGTGGATAGGTACAACTGCAGTAGACACTGACTTCAAGTAGTTCTCGCTGCGCGCCAATTTCAGGAGCTCAGTGTATTTGTTGATGTCGAAATTGAAGATGTTACTTGTAGTTTATCACTGTATTCTGAACATTTACGATTCCAAACGCAGACTTTATTTTTTATTAAGGAAATAAACATATCACCATCAAAATCCTCAATTTAAATTTGTCAACTAATTCACGCCCGCAATACCCGACCATACTCTGCGGTGGAGTTTACGTTCAAAAATGTAAACAATGGTGTCATTACAAAAAAGAAATTAAGAATTGTACACAAATTATATAAGGCCGTCGAGAAAATTTTCATCAATCGTGTTTTTTTACCATTAAGTTCATTAATTTAAATATCTGGGATGCACCATTGCCGACACAAATAAAAGGGAGGATGAAATCGGCATTCGAATAGTAAACGCGCTACGATGTACAGCAGCCGTTGACAAAGTGTTGGTGTCCAAGTTACTAAGCAGGACTACAAAGGTTCGTGTCTACAAAACAGTATTTAGGCCAATCTTAATGTATGAGTGTGAAACATGGACACTAACGCTGAAGGAAGAACACAAATTATTATTATTACAAAAATTATTACAAGGGTGGAGGGTTAGATTCAATAGAGAGATAGAACCAGTGTCTGAGCCTCTGCTCGACTTCGCTGCCTAGGACATGTGGAAAGAATGAGAGAGGATCGAGCTGCCAAAAGAGCGTATTTAGGGCAACCTACGGGTCACCGCCCAGTAGTGGGCCGTCCAAGATATAAAGGAACTAAATGTGTCCGAATGGTCGGAATTGGCACAAGACCGACAGAAATGGCATGCCTTGGTGTCGGAGGCTAAGATGCACTTCGGGTCGCTGAGCCAGCGAGTAAGTATAATTATATTCTCTTAAGAATGTCAGTTGCTACTTTTGATTTCGGACTTATCGTTCATATCGACTGCAGTTTACGTCTCGACTGCATGCAGTCGATGTCTCATGCAGTTGATCACGACTGCACGCATTAATTGCGTAGACTTGCAATATATCTGTTGGCAGCCGTAATTGAACGTTCTGTAGGTGATTAAAAAATCAAAAATGCTATGATTTGTGATCAAGAACACATTGAATCTACTACTACAAAGCTTCTAGCGCTTCTGTCGTTTGATTTAAAATATTTACTTTGGTATCATTAGTAAATGAAACACATGAAAATGAAATTTATGCCTAGCTTTACTAATAGCGTTATTAAGCAAAGATTTTTTTAAAGTTTAATTAACTTCGCGATTTGATGCGTGTGTACACTGCACACCTGTGCAGGCGCATTGATGCTCGCGATGGCGTCACCGCTCGTAGTGCGATATTGTCTCTAGCCTAGGTCACCTACTCTACCTGCCCACAGTGCATTTGTAATCATTGAAATGTAATTCTAATTTTCTAATCTGTTATATGTTTTCCTCATTGTGTTGAGTTGTATTTATAACTGATAATTACTATAATTTTTCTTATACTACATACGATTCGTATGAGTACGTTCTAATCAGGATGATTAAACTTCA